ACAAGAGGAGGGAACTCAATATTTTGACCAATCAGCAGATGATTAATTTTCAAAATACAATTCCCAGTTATCATTAATTGTTATAATCTCTCATAAAGGCAGGTCCTCAACTTGCTTTGTGAATTTTCAAATTGAGTATCCTTGAGACCTCTTGTAACCATGTTAGCACTATGTAGATCAGTGTTCCCAAGCTTCACACGAACCTTTCCAAATTGATGCTTGTTATCCCTATGTCTGATTCTTTTAGACTGAATTGAGTTCATATTGATGTTACTCTTAATGTCACAGTACAAAGTCATGACATCCTGAGTGACATTGCTTCCTTTATGATCACTTGTCATGGACTCCATCAAATTCCAGTATAACAGGTTTAGGTTTATATGATGTCCATCTTTTGGATGTCCTTTCTTGGCTTGCCTACCAGCCTGACATTTTACACAACCTGTTCTATCATCTAGAATTAGCTTTGAAGTTCCTCTGACTGCTTCCTTGGATAAGGTCTTCTTTATCCTTTGAAGATGTCTGCCTTTCTCCAGCCATAGTTGATCCTCCTTTTCTTCCTTGATCAGGACATTGAGTTTACTTCTGGGCTCCCACAGGTAACAATTATTCTTGGCTCTAGATCCCCTCATGACTTCTTCACCTTCTTCATTGGTGACAACACATTTACCCTTTAGTAAATTTGACATTGAGACCTTGGTCATAGAGCTGACTGATACTGATAAGATTTACAGTCAGTCCTTTAACCAACATGACATTCTCCAGTTCTGGAACACCAGGACAATCTATATTTCCAGCACCTATGACTTTTCCTCTAGCTCCATCACCAAAGGTTACATGGCTTAAGGAATGAGGTTTGATGTTCATCAAAAGGTTCCCTATTCCAGTCATATGTCTAGAACAGCCACTGTCAAAATACCAGTCTTCTTTGGTTGGCATTCTAAGAGAGGTATGAGATACTAGAGCAACCTCCTTGGCAACCAATTGTTGTTTCTTGACCTGAGCATCCTTTTTGGGTCTAACTTGATGTTGTTTCTTGGGCATGAATACCCTGTTTGGATTTGCCTTGGTAAGGGTGACTAGGAAATCCATGTAACCTGAAGCAGAAAGGTTTAATGTGTCCAAGTCTTCCACAGTAGTAACACCTATACCCTTGGAATTTATTCTTGATCAGGTTCCTACTTTTGTTCCCCTGATGTTGTGACATTGGTCGTGACATCCGTTTTGACCTATGATTTTTAGGCTTTGTCCTCTTGTCCCCCAAGATGGCTCCTTGTTTACCAATAAATCCTAGTCCAACCATGTTTCCTGCTTTCTGACCACTTTGTAGAATTTTTTCTAGAGTGTCAGTTCCAGGGTTTAGCATCCTTATGGATTTTGAAATCTGATCTAGTTTAGATTCCAACAAGCTGACCTCACTTTTGAAAGAGTCTATGGTTGTCAGATGCTCCATTTTCTCAGCCTTTAACTCCCTTATGCTTTTCTTTTGTTGCTCTCCTTGCTGATATATTTCTGCACTTATGATGCGTAGCTTCTTATATGAAGCTGCAAGTTCATCAAAAGTCATCTTATCTTCACTTGAGCCACCATCAGATATGCATACACTATTCAGAGCAGTGACATGTTTGGCAGATTCTTCTTCTGATCCACTCTCAGAATCTCCATCATACCAAGTGACTGTTAGGCCCTTCTTTTGCTTCTTGAGATAGGTGGGACATTCAGATCTATGTTCCCATATCCTTCACATTCATGACACTGAACTCCTTTGCCTTGACTGGGCCTTTCTTCATTTTTACCTCTTCTGCTGATGTCAGAAGAAGTGTTCTTATCATTAGGCCTAGACTTGTGATCTATTCTTTTAATCAGTTTGTTAAATTGTCTTCCAAGCCAGGCTATTGCTTCTGACAGATTCTCCTCACTTTCACCATTGTCTTCCTCAAAGTCATCTGCAGTATATAAGACAAGAGTTATGCTTTTGTTCTTCTTCTCAACCTGATCACACATTCCCATCTCAAAAATTTGGAGAGAACCAATGAGTTCATCCACTTTCATGTTGCTTATATCCTGAGCTTCATCAATAACATTGACTTTCATGGCAAACCTCTTAGGCAAAGATCTTAGAATCTTCCTCACAAGCTTTTCTTCAGACATCTTTTCTCCTAATGCTCCTGAGCTATTGGCAATCTCAAGAATATTCATGTAGAATTCATGAATAGTCTCATCCTCCTTCATTCTCAGATTTTCAAACTTGGTGGTCAGCATTTGTAATCTTGACATCTTGACTTTAGAGGTTCCCTCGTGAGTTGTTTTGAGAGTATCCCAAACCCCTTTGGCCAGTTCACAATGATGCACTAGTCTGAAAATGTTCTTGTCTATACCATTAAATAAGGCATTCAAAGCCTTAGAATTCCCAAGAGCTAAGACCTCTTACTCTTTATTCCATTCCTCTTCAGGTATTAACACAGATACTCCATCTTTATCAGTCTTCACTAGATGTTCCCATCCTGAGTTGGCAGCTCTCCATGCCTTGTTGTCTAAAGACTTCAAGAAGGCTATCATCCTAGGTTTCCAGTAGTCATAATTTGAGCCATCCAGAATTAGTGGTCTATTTGTGAATCTTATATCCTTGTCCATAGTACCAGAATTTATCTTCCCTAGATCTCACCCAGAAAATAACAGGCGGGGTGCCTGCTCTGATACCAATTGAAATTCTGGTAATCTTACAGTGGATGTTATCACGGATGTTATGACATCCACTACATCACAGACTACAAAACTTAATGACAAACTGTAAATGAAAACAGTAAACAACACAAGTAATTGTTTACCCAGTTCACTATAAACCACACCTACATCTGGGGGCTACCAAGCCAGGGAGGAAATTTACTATTAGCATAATTAATTCAGAGTCAAACAACCAGTTTGCACTCTTCACTTAAGACCTACCCTACCCAATGACACTTCAGCCTAACATTAGACCTGAGTTACCAACTCACTCCCCCTCAATCACAGCAGTGATATCAACCAATTCAAAATTACAAGTAATATTGAAGACACACTTCAAACAAACCTTGATCTTGCTTCACAGCTTTGATCAAGATACACAGCACTCTTGCTTAAAGGCTTAGAGTGACACAATTCACAGACAACTCAAAACTCACTAGTCTAATGCAATCATACAGCAGATGATTGCTTGGCTCACAAGTATTCCTAAGACAGAATACACACGTAGAACAACTGATGTAGTCAGACTTCTTCACTCACAAAATACACTCTTCAATCTCTAAACACTGTCTAAAAGCCCCAACAAATTAAGATTGCTACTTCTGTATATATAAGCAGCATACAATCCTTGAGGCTAGGTGTAGAAATTAGGTTTACCCAAGATAAACCTCTCTTCATGAAGCTGCGCACATCCAATTAGGTCAGGGGTATTCCATGTTATCCTCAGCAATGTCTGACATGTCGCCTGAGATAACTAGGCTTCCTAAAATGTTTCCTGAAGTATAGTCTGAGCTAATACCAGAAAATTTAAACACGCGCCCTGATGTCATATGCTTGATGTCATAACATCCAGCATGACATCCAACTTAACTTGCTCTTAGCTATCCCAACTTACCCTGCAGAACACCATTCATGTATGTCATAACATTAGTTATGAAATTCACACATACTCCAATGTTTTGGCACAAAATGCAGTCAATCAAAAGCATATACAAAAGTGACTAAACCATGTCTTATTCAAAAGAAAATCAAAAACAAGATTATTTATAATCTCAGGAGTATGCATGATATCCTTCAAGGTTAAAGTATTTTCGAAGATGGACTGCAACTCTACTTTCTTATTCATGTATGTTTTGAACATTGCACGGTCATAACAGACATGATGAGAAGAGCCAATGTCTATCCACCAACCATCAGATTCACCAATCATGTTGACTTTAGTGATCATAGAAATAAATTGCTCATCAGTCAAGTTAACTTGTGCATTAGAGGTGTCACAAGATTGTTGTCTATCAATTGAAATGATTAGGAGCCTTTAAGGGCTCTCATTCTTAATTTGACTCACAATATTGTGGTTCTGATTGTTTAATCATTTGTCAAATGACTTCAAAACTACACCGAATTTTATTTTGTTGTTTGAAACAATCAAAACTTTTTCTTTTTAATCTTGTCTCTGAAATTCTTCTTCAACTCGAGGGTGAACGAATAACCAGACTCTCAATTAAAAATTATTTGTTTTATGACAAAAAAAAAAACTCTCATTTTGTCAATAACAAAAACAATTTGAAATTGTTCATATAAAAACATACATGCAATAATAATCTTGTGAGCTATCTTTTGAAGTTCGCAAGACTAAGCTTTCACAGACCTTTTACTTACCATTTGATTTTTCAAGTAGCGGCTAACAACATACTTCTTTGCTCCAACTTTTTCGGTGTTATACTTCTTTTTTTTTTAGGGTCTCCCAAACATGTTTTGTAGTATCGAATATGGTATAAATATCACTCATAATATTTAGTACAAAGACCAGTCGTAATAATTTCTCAAACGAAAAGAAATTTAAATAGTTCTCCAAAGATGATTTTAATAATACTCATTTGACCACTCAATAATTTCTCAATCAAAAAAGAAATTCAAATTCAAATAATTCATTTCCCTAATATTGACATGTTCCAACGCATGTGCAATCTTGGAATGTGTCTAGGTCTCAAACTTACATTTAAGTTCATTTATACTCTTGGAACAAAATTTGAGTTCAATTTATACATGCAGAGGCAACCAGAGTAGAATCACCCATTAGAATTTAATAGTCATGCTATTTATGAAAAATAAAATGCATAGAAATTTAATGCTACCATATTACTCTTTTATTGTTCGATTAGATACTTTGCATGTTGTAATCTGTCAACTGTCAGAAAGGGTGTTACTAGTTTGATAAAATAACCTCCAAATAAATTGTTTTTCATTCTTGTTGTTGAAAAACATGCATCTAGACATCACCCTGCCTTCTTTTTTCCAAATAGTAGGCTCAAAGAATAAGTGCTTCCCTTCTCTGCAGCAGCTTCCACTCGACTCTTACCAACCTACCAGTCATTTTGTATAACTAACATGTAACAAAAACCAAATGTCATAACCACAAAATGCATATGAAAGATGGAAAATAATACCTTGTCCATGAGCCAATAACCAATAGTTGGCATGTACTGAACAAGGTACATGACAACTAGCACAGGCTGCAAAAGAGATCACTTTTGAGTATCAGACATTCACTTATCTTAGAGGAAAGTAAAGTAATGAGTGCGGGAACAAGTTAAATAAAAGGTATAACCAAAAGCAAGTATTTAGCTGGAACCTACGAAGGCACAAAAGTCGAAAGTGGAGGAGTACTCTAAGTTCTAACATAAGTAAATTGCTAAAAGCATAATACCAATGCTTTTACCTGATATGATATCCAAGCTTCCTTTAAACCATGGGTTGCGGCAATAATCGTCAACTCAGCACACTTCTCCGCTGACACACGCTTCTGTCAATACATAATTTTAAGAGGATGAGAGCAAAATTTCAATGATTCAGACCATGCACACCCAGCAAAAACACTGCCTAACACACATTCAAGTGGAATATGCTAACGATCAGGCTAGAATATAAAGGGAAGTTTATACCGTAAACTCCAGGTCTAGAAGTCCCAATAAGAAGTGTAGATCATACCAAGGGTTTTCCTATGGTTACGAGGGGCCCTAGAAACACTATGGACCAGACCATTAAGAATGGTTTTAATTAAATGGTACTTTTTCAGTAAATGTGATTTATGAGAAGACATTGTGACATTGCTTGGTTCATGCAATCTGAATCCACGAAGTGAAAAAATACTCTGTTATTGTTGCGTGTGACTATTCTTAGTTCTTTTCATTTAGCAAACATGAGATTAGCAAGCCATATTCATAATTTAAAATGAAAATCCCATGCATACCTACTTTCAAAACAAAAAATGTGAGAAAAAAACTATACATCTATTTAAATGATAATATCATGCATACCTACTAAAAAGTAGGGAATAAAATTCATTCTTGCAAAACATGAATACGTAAACTTAGACAATAGTGATGTGTATTGAATAGCAACCTGTAGATTAGAAGTTAAAGAAGATACTTGCGTGGTGGAAATAAAGTAAAGTAAAAACAAATAGACTCAAGTAGTATCTTTCTTTACACTGACAGTCGATCATTAGCTGGCAAAAGGTGCATACCTCGGATGGAACCTGCGATCCTGCGTTATTTACTGTTTGTATAGGACCAGGACAGACAACAGTTACCTGAATTCCTTTCTGACACAGCTGCCACCATAAAAAGATTAGTGGTTCATGATATGTATTGTAAAATAATAGCAGAGTTATCGACAGCGGCACGGAGCGGTGATCCTCCGCTATGGAGTGGTTCGCGTCACAGTTTGAGATAGATGCCACTATTTGATGTTTAGCGGGTAGCGGGTAGCGGGAGCGGAGCGCTTCCCGGCCCAAGTGGGTTTGAACTGTTTTGAACGCGAAAACCCAGATTTACCCTTAAAATAAATAAACGTTGGGGGAGTTTTGTGGAATTTTTCCAAATTTCCCTAACGCAGAACACAAAACAGAAGATTTGATTTCATCTCACATGCATTCGCTTAAGTTTTCAGAGTTTTCGTCTTACGGTCTTCTTCTCAGTGCCGCCTCTGCTTCGTTTCTTAGCGTAGCCACCTGGAATCCCCTCTTCTCAAGTTGGTTTGTACTTCATTGTTCTTCTTTCTTTTCTATTCTTTCTTTTCTTCTTACTTTTCTTCTTTCTTTCTTCTTTCTTTTCTCTTCTTTCTTAATTCTTTTCTTTGTTAGTCTGTTTTTTTCTTTACTTCTTTCTTTCTTTTCTCTTCTTTCTTCTTCTTTCTTTTTCTCTTTTTTATTCATATTTTCCTCTGTTCTTTTTTAAGTAATAGTCATTTAATAACTCTATTCCTCTTCTTCCTCTTTTATTTGTTTGGTTTTATATTAAATATGTGTTTTATAAATTATTAATATAATTAGTCTAAAACTAGTCAAATAGCGGTTATCCCGCTATCCCATTTTTTAGGTCGGCTGCTCCGCTCTGCTATCTAGAATTGATAACTCATGATAATAGTTGGATAAAACAACATCAAAGATGATAAAAACTAACGATATACCTCTGAACGCAAAGAATGGAAATACCCATTTAGTGCAAATTTAGAAGCCGAGTATATAGCCTGACCTGGGGCAGGTGTCTTTCCTGCTGCGCTACTCATCTGATGGTAAACATAGAACAAAATATTATCAACTTATGAAGAGGAAATGGAGATGAAAATTAAGATATCTAATGAACTTCAACAATACTTAGTTATGGCCCTGGTCAGAAACTCACACGCAACATAATGCATATATGCCTATATATTATAACCAAACGGTTAAAGTTGTAATTGTTCATTTGAGGATAAAATGTAATAGAAAAGTGAACTGGTGACTACTCTCTACTTTTCACTAGTGTCTGTCTCTGTTAATAAACAAATTCAATCACAAACATCTTTCTGCAAGCTTCGTCACTATGATGTATTTTCTAACAACTTAATATAATATTGGTATGCAGATTCGGTAACCAAAATAAGATATTGTCAAAGAATTTGCACATACCACAACAAAATGACCTTTACCCCTCTTCAACATGAAAGGTGTCAGGAGCTTTGTAAGAGTTATTGTCCCCAGAACATTGACATCAAAGATTGCCTAATCAGGAGAAAAAGAGTAATGCAAAACTTCAGAAGACTGCTTTCAATGTTTTGAAAGGATAGTAAAAACAAGGGAAGGGAACACTTTTCAAAGCTTTGGTAATCAAGCAGTGAGAATAAGAGTCACATTCATGAATTACCTTGAGACTATCCTCAGTTACATCTAAAACGGATGATTTCTGCAAAACAAAATAACTATTTTCATAATATTTTAAATTAATGAAGTATCTAATAAATAAAGAATAGTTAATCGGATTAGTGAAGAGAGTTTTCCTTAACCCTCACAAAGCATCACCAATCTAAATCATCACATGTGAAGTCCATTTTCCCCTTCTGTTTTACATTAATAGGTGTGTCTTCTAATATAACAATAATAAGCATATTTAGGTTTTGATATATGAGATAAAACCATTAGATAAAGCAATCAACTACTTACTGGACGCTCATAAGCAGCATTATGAATCATATAATCAACCCCAGAATCTGGAAAAAGGGACTCTGCTATATCCACAACCTTCCTAAGAGAATCTTCTCCAGACGATAAATCCAACGGTAAAATCTTGACCCCGTCAGGTGCATGCTTACCTAGCAGCAAGCAAATGACATATTAATGAGTATGACAAATGTCAGTATCACTATCGGTACACAAACATAAGTGAGTACTACTTTATAACTTACATTACATATGTAGACATACTATAAGTTACATCACTGTACCTTTCAGCTGCGATTTCACTCTGTTTAGGTCCGCTTCATTCCTTGCAGAGATTATTAACTTGGCCCCTAAACTCGCAAGCTGTTGAGCTAGAACTTCCCCTTCATATAGATTCATCGAAATCAATCATGCGAACAAACAACAAATATGGAAAAGATTCTAGCTTTACAAAGCTTAAGCATAAAAAAACCCTAAAACCAAATAAAATAAGTAATAAACAAAAGATTCCAAAACTGAAATTTGATAGCATAGCATGATTAATTTGATCAAAAACACATGTGGAAAGATGACTATTGGCAGAATCAAATAGGGCATAGTTATTTTTCTACCAATTCCACGGCTGGCACCAGTAATCCAAAAAACCTGAAAAGAAATCAAACATTAAGATAAAATAACATGAGAAGTGAAACATTTAATTTGTATTATAAGAAGAAGAAAAAAAAACAAGTGTTGAATTGGTGGAAAGTGAAAGAACCTTATCTTCAATTAATTCGCGTTTTGGATGCTTCTTTGACATCAAAGTGAAATCGCCTAAGGAATCAAAGCAAGAATAATAAGCGTTGAATGATAATTTGAATTCGAATACAGAGATTAAGAAAAAGAGTGATAATTACCATAGGCGGTGGCGAATTTGAATAAGAAGAGGAAGAAGAGGAAGATGAAAAGGAAAAGCACCAACATTGCTGTTGCTAGAAGCTTTAGAGAGTGTGCCTAGCGAGTGTTTGTTCTATTGAGTATTGACATGAAATAGAATAAAATAAGTACAAGCATGTTAGCTATTAAAATAGAGGGATATGAATATGGATATGTGCACTTTAATATTTATTATGCTCTAAACATGTATAATATATATTTATATGTTTTATATTATATTATTATATAAAAATATATGTTTATTAATTTTTTTAAAAACAATGTTAAACTATTACATATTTAATATAAATGTTCGTTTATTTCATAATTCAACGATAATTTTTTTGAAAACTAGTTTAATATTCTTAAAATGATATGACATTTCATAATTAACCTATTTATTTTTATTAAAAATATAGGTAATAGGTACGTGTATGAGTTCTTACATACTCATAAGATATTAATACATATGTTAACGTTGATGTTCAAACGTGTATGAGAATTTTTTCTAAATGCGTGTATGGAGATTGACATTGTAGTACCATGTTCAAATTTTTCTCATTGTAGTCTCTATCATTATCCCTTTTGGGATAAGTCAAATATATGTTTACTGTTCTAGACTGACCCAATGGCTAGGCATGGTTCAATCCACTTCTGCACCTAGAATGATCCAATAGTCTAAGCCCTGCCAGTTGAGGGCAAAGAAAAGCACTTTTTCTCCTGCCCCTCAGTCGAGGAGAGCTGGCCAGCTGACCTTAGGACCAGCTACCCTTCGTCACATCTTTGTCTGTCACGCACGGTTCAACCATCCAGGACGGCCACGACACACTTCCTACAACCACACTCATACTCGAAGAAACAACTAGTTTCGAGCATGCATGTCCGTCACAGCGGCTAGGTTATGACAGTTACCTATTTTTAGGGAGGGAATATCCAGGGCCGAAAATAGGGACCAATGGCCAAGCGCTAGGAGCATTATAGATACTCTCTTCTTTGAGAGGGTCATGTATTCCAAAATTACCCTAAGACATTCTTACTTTGTACTTACCTTTTCTCTCTCGATACTTACTTTGGCATCAGAGTGCCTTGCAGGTACACTCTCTCCTTGAATTCCAGCATCGAAGACGAAGTCTCTGGCCCACTTTAGGTTCTGATCAACCAGAAAGATCAGTAGCGTCGTAAGTGAGAACTTATGTTTTCCCCGTCTTTCTTTCCCTGAAAACCAAATATCAAAGCAATTTTTCAAGATTCTGATCATGGCCAACCATGATAACATCAACGATGTGCACAACATTGTCATCTTCCACGTTAACAAGACAGCCAACGACGAGGCAAACTCCTTTCTTGGACACGATGTTCCTCAGCAAAGGGACAGAGTCACCGCATCTCCCTCCCTGGATCGCGACAACAACGTAGAAATCCAGTACTCAGAAAACGACCATCCCATCTCAGTTCCGCCCAATGTCGACCCGGCCATGGCAATCTTGGCTGAAGCCCTCAACCAGACAAACCTTCTATTCCTCCAGCAGAATGCAAGAATTGGAGCGTTGGAAGAGATTCGCTGTCCAAGATTTCCTCCATCAAGAGGCAAGCATCAGAGATCTCGAAGCCATTCACCCCGACGCAGAAGAAATCGCCAGATAGCAGCGGAGCCAAAATCCTTGTCGATGAGGAAACACGACCATACTCCTCCACAAAGCTAGCACTCCCCGAGGGCCAAGTGAACAAAAAGATATTTGTGAGCAGAAAACCAATGTTCACCTTCGCCCAGACCTAAGGGTCAGTCGCGGACTCCCTCTCCCCGTAGAGGTTGCAGTTCTCACCCTGGTAGAAACGCCCACTCTCGTTCTCGGTCGAGCAGCTACAACAACAAAGAAGAGCCTCAAGGCCCGTTATCCTAGGAGATCATGGCCACTCGATTACCCAAAAGGCTGGGAAAAAAACCACCCCTGGACACATATGATGCCACGACCGATCCCGACAAGCACATCGAGAACATCAATGCCCTTCTCAACTACCATAGCGTTAGAGGCGCCATCAAATGCAGGTTGTTCCCGGTGATATTGGGGAAGGGAGAAATGTCCTGGTACATGAGCTTCCCCTACGAATCCATCACCTCATGGAGGCAGTTGGGAGGATGTTCTCGACACATTTTACAGCCTCTCGCCGTCATCCAAAGACAGAAGCCTCCCTCAAGGCTATCATTTAAGGAAAAGATGAATCTCTTTGAGCTTACATCAAAAGATTCAATAAAGAAACCGTTCAGGTATCCACGACTAACGACATGAAAAAATATATGCTCGAACGAGGGCTCCGTCCCCATAACGACTTTGCCAAGGCGGTTGGCATCGAGACCCCAGCGACATTGGACGCCCTCTTCCTCAAGGCTCGGGTGTATATCTAGTATGAAGAAAAAGAAGTGGCAAACATTGTCTGGGACTCTAGGTACCAAGAGAACGCCAGGTCCTCAAAACACGATGACTCCTCGTCAATTCGTCGGGGAGTAAAAAAAAGAAGGGATGACCACTCTCGGGAATCCTGAGATTGCAAAGGGCCATCTGGCCATTTCCACGAGTACATCGCGCTAACCACCTCCTGCGAGAAGATTCTCTCTGAATGCGTAAACTCGGAGTTTCGGCAGGCAGGGGTCTGTTTCCCAAAGCACATACCTGCCAAGCCGAACACGAATAAAACAAAGTATTGTCGGTTCCACAAGAGTCATGGGCACATGACGGACGACTGCATCCATCTCAAGGATGCAATTGAAATCTTGGTCAGGGATGGGAACCTGAAGCAATTTGTGAAGAAGAAAGATGTTCCTCGACAGGATTCCCAGGAATCGAAGAAGGTTGAAGAAGAAGTACCATCCTTGGACGACGTCAGTCTTCAGGCCTCCATGAGCATCTCACGACCAGAAGATTTCTATGTCCCCAATGGGTTCGACGTCCCTCTTTACTTCACTACACATAGCCCTTGGGAAACCTTCCCCTCCACCGTGGTCATATCGGGAGGAGGATTCAACAAGGTGATCACGGGGTCAGTAAAGAGAAAGTTCGAGCACCTCATCAATACGAGCTCAAATCAAAGTTCTACCCTCGATAAGATCCCGGGATATTTAGTTCCCATCACCTTCTATCACGAGGAACTCCTCGGCGGAGCCCCCAATTCCAGTATTCCTCTGCTCATAAGGACGCAGATGACCAAATTCAATGTTCGGCGAATTTTGGTCGACCATGAAAGCTCGGTGGACATTATGTACTCTCAATTGTTCTTCATGCTTCAGCTGGACGAGACACATCTGACACCCTTTGTAGGCTAAGATCTACAAGGCTTCAACGGTTTAGTCACAAAGTCATGGGAATACATGGAGCTGATTGTCACCTTAGGGTCCAGGGGTACGGCCATATCCATCAAGGTCCAATTTCTGGTAATTGATTGCCCATCCCTTTACTAGTGCATCTTCGGACGACCAACGCTGGGCGAATTGATAGTTGTGCCCTCCACGGTGCACTTGAAGATGAAGTATTACACTTTCAAAGGGCTCGTCGCCACCCTACATGGAGACATAGAGGCAGCGAGAAGGTACTTTAAGGCAACCTCAAAAGAGCTGAACAACATCGTCATTCGACCAAATACGTCCAACAAGCCTCCCCTGCCCTATATCTTTGACGAGACGAAACCGCTGCCCCGCGTCGACTCCACTAACCTGACAACCGTTTCTCCAAGGACGACTTAAGGGATCAGAAGAAGAAGAAGGGGATGGAGACTCAGTCAAACTCGAGCAGCCCCACTATATCAACAAGCAGCGGCGAGCCTGTCCATCTTATGCGGCCAATCTCTGATGGATAATTTGAGCTAGTCCTCCTCGAAGGCAACTCTCTCAAGGGAGTGAAGATTGGGACCTGTAGCGGTAAAAATCGTGAGTGTAAGTTATTAATTAACTTAACTCAAAAAAACAAGAGTCGCCACCGCACTTTTATTTTATCCAAAAAAGGAAAGAAAAAAGAGCGAACAAAACCAAATAGTTCTAAAATAAGAACACGAGACAGAGATCGGGGTAAGGGGGTTGGTTACGCAATGGGAAGGTGTTAGCACCCAAAACGTCTATAGTACTCTATAGGAGCCCTTTGAAATATTTACGTTTTTTGGTTTGAAAATGGTTTGTTTGAAAAGAGATTGGGGAGATGAGAAGAGAATTATTTTTTAGATTTTTGTGTTTGGAGAGACTTATCGCCTCATGCCTACGTACCCACAAAGTGAAATATGGGATCAAAACCCCGTAGTTCGTGGTACAAATGACAAAAATTTGTTGGTTTTGATTGATTTTAGATGTAAAGACAAGTCGTCATTTTAAGGAGAAAACTGCGACTATCCACCCACGAGTATTAAGACAACATCTGCGTCACATAAAGATGGAGGATTTGCTTGGATTATCAACAAGACTATCACTCAACATCAACGTGGAAAATGTCAAAGTCTTAATAATATGGGGAATAGGATATTTACATCTCAACTATAGAAATGAATCATGTCTAAACTTTATGAAAAGTTTTAAAGTGAAAAAAAGTGCATAAAGGCACAAAAAGAGTTGATGAGTTTTTGTATTTTTTATGTCTTTTGAAATTGGTCAAAGCATGATTAACATTGATTGACTTTTATTAAGAAAAAACAAAGTTTAAAAATCACTTGACGAAAGTCAAGGTTTTATTGCGAAAGTGGTTTTGAAGTTTGAAACCAAGAAGGTTTTGAAAGAGGGAGAAAGTTTTGAAAATTTAAGAAGGGGAGGAGATGAAGTGACTATCCTAGAAAACAAAATAAAAGCTAGAGGTAAGAAAGATCTAACCAACTTGAAGTGCACTCCAGAGCAAGCAAAAAGAATTCCATCCGATTTAAAGCATAAGCTAATGAGCGAGCCAAATAAAGGCTAATATCCACAATACTCCAAGCATAGGAATGAGAGTCTTAATTCTAAGTCTGAAGGTCCATGAAGTCCAAGGTCTAAGAGTAGTCCAAGAGCATAACCACAAAGTTAATAACACCAAGTTTTT